TCATTAAGTCTTAAAACATGGTTTTAAAAAAAACAACGGCCTGCTTCATATGTTACTCTAGGGCAGAGGTCACCAAACTTTCTTGGTTGGCAGACTGGAAGAAAAGGGTGGAGGAAGCATTTTACGCATGTGCACGCACAGGGCCACAAGCATGCATGTGACACATATGGGTGGGGCTAGCGCTTGCATGATACTAGCTAGCCCTGTCCCATTCTTGTGCACAGCTCCTCGTTTCTGCACCCTGAGGTGTGGCGTCAGCTCATTTTCACACCCTGAGATGCAGCGGCATCCCATTTTTGCACCCTGAGGCACGGCATTGGCCTGTTTTCACACCACCCAGTAGCACGGCATCCCGTTTTTCACCCCACAGCGCGGCGGCGGTCCATTTTTGCTCTGCATGGTGCAGAATTCTGTTTTCATGCCCAACGCTAGCACAAGTGAGGGGTGCACGCACACGTGCACACACTGTGGGCTCCATGGTCCGGTGGCCAGCAGCCCACAGCCCACTACTGGTTGGGGACCTGTGCTCTAGGACTTAAGACAGAATGCATAATGGGAGAAATTAAATCTATGCAATGCACAAAAATAGGCTTCATTCTCCAGGGTCTTCTCTTTAAAAGTTCAAGATCATCAAATCCAATTACATCAAACCAGAAGGAAAAGAAGTGACAACATTGGCATATCTTGCTTTCCAATCTGTTATATTTTAAATGAGCCATTGATCTGTCTGTTCCCCTTGTTCCTCTGAGTCTGGAATTGGAAATAGAAATCAGCTATATACATTTAGTATGAACTAAGTTGCATATACAATTAGGTTTTCTCTGCTGAACTCTGACATTTGCGGATGTCAATTTAATCTCATCCCTTTTCCATCACCTTGGTAAAAAACAAAAACAAAATGGAAGAGACATCAAGATGCTATCAGTACTTTAAATGAAGATTCAGCTACACTATTATTGCAATCTAAGAATCGATGCTAGTTAGAAATGTGCCCTATCACAGAATAAAACCATGGATTTAAAATGTGTAATTGAGAATTAAGAAGCAGTTTGATGTAAAGGCTACAAAACAAAAGAATGGAGTACGGGTCCTGATATTCCTAGTTAAAATTCTACTGGATAGATACTTTCAGTACAAATGATCAAGGCTAAATTACTGAGGAAGTGCCTACAGTCATCGTTAATGGAGACCCAAGTGATCTCCACTGTAATAGGAGTACCTATTGCTAATTTTGGTTGGATCAATGGTGCCCTCTTTTGGATAGGATAGCTAATTATAATTGTTCATACACATTTAGATTAATATAATGTATTTTGTGGGAAGGTATCAATATGCTTCCTCTGAAAGTTGCTCCAGTGTAGAATGTGGTATATTAAAAAGGTAATGGTTACCCCTATCCAGTGATATCTGACTCTAGGGTCAATGCTCATTTCCGTTTCTAAGCTGAGGGACCCAGCATTGTCTGAAGACATTTCTGTGGTCATGTGACCAGCATGGCTATAACAACACAGAATGTTGTTACTTTCTTACCAAAGTTGTACCTATTTATCTACTTGCATTTATATGCTTTCAAACTGCTAGGTGGGCAGTTGACGTAAGTAACAAGAGTTCACTCATCACATAGTGCTCTGGTTTCAAACCCAGATTGTCCGCTGAGCCATCAATCCTCCTCTTGCGGTATATTAAATGTATACATACATTCATATGGGATTAAACTAACAAGCTTCTAGTAATACAGTTTTTGCTTGTAAAACTCCCAGTTGATAAAGCTATGCTAGTCAGTTTCCTTAAGAATACAGAAAGAATTAGCTATTACAGGAACAGCAGAGATCCGTAACAACCTGGTAAATACATCATATGGAGTCAAATTTTTCTTGCCTGTGATTTGTGAAGTAAGCCACAGTTAGTTGAATTCATACAATACACTAAGACAATAGTTAAGCAAAACATTATTCCTCAGCAGAGTGTGTGGCAATTTGAAAAGATATGGATGTGCACTGTAAAAAAAAATGCCAAAAGCATTATGTTACCTAATAAAGAAGTAATAAAGAATAACAATAATAATAAACATTATTAAACACAAATGTTTAAATGTTTCATTGTATTTGATTGGAAGCTGCCCAGATTTGGTTGAAAGATTGGCACTAACTTAAAGAATGTGTAAAAAAATCCAGGACTCATTACTCCTTTAGAATTTAAATTCCCATGTTTTGAGAACTGCTCACAAAGTTATGACCATTGCAGCATCCCTATGGTAACACGATCATGATTTCCAATGTTCCCTGCTAGCTTCCCACAAGCAAAATCAATGGGGAAGCCTGCAGGAAATCAGACATTGCTTGGATCCCATTGCTTTTTTGCCCACCCATGGTTATTCTGTTTATCTATTTACGTAAGTAAATATTGACTGATTATATGTGTGGGCATAGCAAAATGAAACAATATGATAAGTTTAACTGACCATCTCTCCCCATATTGCATATAAAATTTGGTCCCTTTCTCCAGGCAATTAGTTTCTTCCCCAGCTCTCAGTCACTGATCTGGTGTCTCAGTATCTCTTGTTCTGCCCCTTGCCCTGGTGTCATCCCACCCTGGTTGCTTGCACATGTGCCTCCACTCACCTGGCTTAATTCCTCTCTGATCTACTTTGGCACATCCCATTGATTTGCCCATGGATCAGCCTTCTGCGGTCCTTTGGTGCCTCTGGCACTCCCTCTGGTCACTGGCTCACCCATTGCCTGATTCATCTCACTCTGCTGTCTTCTGATGCATCTGGCACCCCCTCTGGTCACTAGATTGCCCACTTGTCTTCTTTGCGCTCCCTCCCTCCCTCCCCCCCCCTCTCTCTCCCCTCAGTCATTCATTGTGCAATTCCACCAGCAGAGACCACCCTGTGGTATGGTTGCAGGACAAGTCAGTATGCCTTTCTTCTCCTCTTGTCTCCTTTGTTATGCTGTCTCCCATTCCTGGCCCTGTGCTGTATTCTCCCACTTCTCACTCTCTCTTGTCCTCTTTTTCTCTTTACTTTGCCTCCTACTCTGCTTGCCTCTAGTGTCCCTTTTTTCCCTTCCACAGTTCTTCCTTCTCTCTCTCGTTCACCGTCTCCTTTCCTCCTCCTCCTCTGTCCTCCTTTATCTCCACTTTTTCCTTTTATTCTCCTCTGGCCTGTGCCACCTCTTTCCTCCTCATTTCTGGGGATTTCCTCACCAAGTGTTCATCCCAGGATGCCCCAACCAGCCACAGGCCAGGTGCCACACCTCAGGTGCCTGCATCCAGTCCCTGGGTGACCAACACTGTCCGGGGAAACCTGATTAGTTGTGCACCACTGCCGATCTTGGGCTCAGCCGGCTGCCACCCAGCTGATCAGCTGTTGGCAGGGGCTCCGGCAGAGCTCAGATGAATGCTGCCACTCTGCCCCCCCCCATACTACATCAGTATTACAATCTTACCATTCTTAAGTACACACTTCTCATTCTTGGGGGGGGGGGGAAATATCATGTAAAGCCACACTGAATTGTTGAGTGCAACTGACCAGGGTATATGATATTAACTAAGTTAATATTTATATCCATGTTAAAATTATATGTATATTGTTTTGTTTTGTTTTGAATATATTGAACATAGATGTTTCAACTGTTCTATTTAGCCAGCATTTATTTACTAAAAATCTTTACTTAAGATAAGGTTTATGCATCTACTCTTTTTGTTTCCCAGCTGTTTACATTTTTAAGTTTTGCCAGAATTTTTGCTTCCAAAAGATACAGAAAGCCCCCAAAAATAAAAATAAAAATCTCCTATTTGGTAGAAGAATTTGCTTGCAGAGATTCATGTGGATGCTTTATTTGATGGTGTAATTTCTGCATGGTGTGTTCATACACCCTGTATTAACATCTAACAATATTAACAATCTTTGATAAACAATTCAAAGATCATGGATTAGATTTTGAGTTCATCAAGCTTAGAGGAATGGTATTGGAGGCCATGACTATAATGAAATTATGTTCTGGATCTAATCCAACACAATTAGCTTGGGGAGGCTATTGTGAAAGTTGATATTACTCAACCTCATAATAACTTGTTTAGACAATCCACTCCATGTGGGTCTGCTTTTAGACAATCCACTCCATGTGGGTCTGCTTTTAAAACCATAGAGAAGTTTTACTTAGTACCAAACATCATGCTCATATGGTTGTCAGTTTAAAAAATCTACTCCAGTTGAACCAGTGGAATGTCAGCCTTAGGAAATACCAAACTTGGAATACCTGAAGCTGAACACAGGCAGCATCAGGATAGCTGGAGAAACCAGGTGATGCAGTACAGCCTCCAAGCAAAGAGTCTCAATGAGGGTCCTTCCCAAGATAAAGCATGCCTGTCTTAACTAAAAACAACTGAATGGGGCCTTATTGAAGAGAAGCTCTGACCAATGTTTTCTTATTGGAAACAATTCTCTGATCTCCTGAGTTTTATATAAGAAATTGCAATTCTGCTGGTTGATTTATTGCAGATGTTTCATTATCCAACTAGGAGACATCTTCAGTGCTTCAGTGCTTCTGTTTACATACACTGATCCTGATTAGGTTGGCATGAGGTAGAAATCAAATCATTAAATACATAAATAAAACATTCAGAACAAATGAAAGGCATGGGTTTGGAAGAGAGATTCTTTTATGTAAGTGTTTAAAGAACAGAAAAGTGATAATTGGGATAAGTTATTATTTGTAGGCTTTGTCTAAGAAGAAAACCCTGTTGTACCTCATCTTCCATATCTCATAAAAAACTCAAAACTCTTTTAGCATCAATTGTTTTTGGTTCTTAACCAATCCTGGCCCAGTTATAGCATATTTTCTTTAATATTTCTGTATTCTCTGAAGTGAAATGCATACAAGAATAAATAAACCCAAAGCAATATATGTATTATTGTGGCCCAAGCTACCTCCTCAAAAGAAACCAATGGCTTTGAAGATGCAATATAATTGTATTTACATGCTTGCAAGCAATAATACGGTATTACATTTTGGTGCTGTGAATTGGAACAAATTGACAAGATGGGAGACAGTCAATAATTTGCAATGTTTGAGTTCTGCCACTGCCCTTCTACCTCTCCAATCCTTGGAGAGGGAGGTATCTTTTACCATGACATTATGTACAAACATATCCTCCATTCTCAAGTTAATATTTAACTATAATTAACATTCTTCGAAAATGCATAGTAAAAGTATACTTATAGGCGAGGAAATATGGATCAGCCATTAACAGCAATAAAACTTCACATCATTGAGTGCTGTGTCATCGCCACTGCCCTGTTCACGCTCCACCTTTGTTTGGATCCCACATATCCCAATCAATGCACAGCGATTGCTCCATGGACCAAATTCACCCCATGTCATGCCAGAGCCGTTCAGGATACCACCATCACTGCAGGTGAATTGGATATTGTTAGCTGCTGTATCATCACCAATTCCTTGAGCTTTTTCCACTCTCAGAGAAAAAGAAACCAGGAAACCTGTGTGACAAAACTGCTTTGGGATCCAGTATCCCCACCTGGAAAAAAAAACCCAAGATGGATTAGCATCTATTTGGTATATAGATTTGTCATAAATCCAAGAGATTCAAGGATAATCTCTTCATCTAGGAACTGGGTTGGAGTCTATTTTTGGCTATTGAAATTCATTAAATAACTGGACCAATAGTTGACATTCAACCTGATTCATTGACTATTATAGGGGGGGAAATAGGAGGAAGGTGGTCTTGTGGATGCTACCATAGGGACTTAGGAAAAACTGGTATACATTTTTATCCCAAACCTTCCCTTGACCTCTTTCCCAATACATGTCATGTTCATAATGCATTACAATAGGGTCTTCTCCTTCCACAGATTGTTTTACACTATTGTAAGTACCATTTCCCCTGAAAAAGAAGACTTCCTTCTATTACCCTTGAATGAATGAATTACCACTAGTGAAGAGGTGAGTCATTATTCAGCCAGCAAGCCCTCTGTGGAAATCCAGTGCCTCATTTTTTTCACTGGAAGTCTGAGGTTCTACTTCAGTTTTCCTGGCTACTTTAAAAATGGCAATCCACGGGAAAATAGAATGTCCCCTCTGGCTGCCATGTAGTCATTCCCCATGGTGCTATTTGGGAAGAGGGGACTTTACAATAAAGAAAATTGGAACAACATTCTCAATCAGCGCTGATAGGAAGCAATATGTCCAGCCCTTATCCACTGTTTGCTGGGTCCCACAGGTCTTGGTACCCTCTCCACTTCTGTTTAACATCTGCATGAATCCGCTGGGTGAGATCACCCAACAACATGGGCTGAGATATAATCAATATGCTTATGACATCCAGCTGTATGTCTCAGACTTTGTTGAGTTAAGTATGCCATGACCTCTCTCTCACAGTACTTAGAGGCTGTTAAGGGCTTGATGAGGAGCAATGGGCTGAAACTGAACCCGGGAAAGACCGGGTGGGTCTGGGGTTGAGTTTCCTTGGTCCATGAAGAATGGCCACCTGTGATCTTGGATGGGGTGGCACTGCCTCAAACAAACCCAGTATGTAATCACTACTCCTGCTTAAGGAGCAGGTGGCAGTTGTGGCCAGAAGGGCCTTTGTGCAACTATGGGTTGTGTGCCAGTTACACCCTTATCTGGACCAACAGTCCCTGCTCATAGTCATTCATGCCCTGGTCATCTCCTGTCTTGACTATTGCAATGCGTTCTATATTGGGTTGCTGATCTAGAAGTTTCAAGATGCAACATGCAGTAGCCTGCATGGTTTTGTGCAGACCCAGGTGTGTGCACGTGTTACCTCTCCTGTGAAAGCTGCATTGGCTACCAATTTGCTTTTGGATGCAATTCAAGGTGCTGGTTTTCACCTTTAAATCCCTTCATGACCTGGAACAAGTTATCTGAAAGACCCTCTCTTCCTTGGTATATCTACCCAACACACTAGAGCAGGGGTTTCAAACTTGGCCCTTTTATGACTTGTGGACTTCAACTCCCAGAATTCCTCAGCCAGGGGGAGTTGAAGTCCACAAGTCATAAAAGGGCCAGGTTTGAAGACCCCTGCACTAGAGCATGAGGGCAAGAAATGTTGTGGGTCCTGTCTCCTAATGAAGTTCATCTGGCGGGACCCAGAAGAAGGTTCTTATCCATGGTAGCTCCCTCCTTTTGGAACATCATCCCCACAGAGATTAGAAACTGTCCCCAAGTTTCTCTTTTGCTCTTTCACTCTTTCACAAGGCCCTGAAGACCTGGTTCTGCCAATGGGCCTGGGGATGGAGCCCATCAAGTAGCTCCTTCGATTTCTTGTTGTCATCAGCAGAGTGAGGAGTTATTGTTTTTATGCTTTTCATATTGAGTTTTTTATTGTTTGTAAGTCACCGAGAGTAAGTGGGCGGCCATATAAATTCAATAAATAAGCAAAAACATAAATATCTCCTATGGCCCAATACTGTCCTAATCCTGATTTGAGGCATTTTAATTGCTGATTTATTTGCAATTAAACTGATTAAATAATCTGATAAATGTATGCAAATATACACATTTACCAACAGTGCTTAATACAGCAACAAAAATATTCCCTGGCATAGTGACTGAATTGTCTGGGATTGGGATATTAAAAACATATGCCCAGAATTCAAGGATATGACATTAATAATAACCACACTGCTGTCCTTCACATACAGCAGTTGTACATGTAGCTCAGCCCTGCAGTCCATGCATCCCGAAAAAAAAGAGTTATCGATTCATGAATAGCACAATTAGAGAAGTGTGTGGAGACTAAAGTCCATAAGGAGTATTGTTCGAGTGAATGCATGTCAGGGAAGAACAATGGAAGGGAGTAAAATAGATACACTTACTATGGCCCACAAACTATTTCTAAGCTATTTTTGCACCACTCAGGAATACAAAAATCTCTGATCCGTGTCTCAACATCAGCTGCTTATTCAAAGAGGCCCTTAAGCCTTTCAGGACCTTCCCCTCCTGAAATCAGAAACGCTGACTTTCAAGGTTGGATAGCAGTAAACTGAGCACCAGACATCTCCTCTCTCATTCTTCATGACAAGAAAAGGAAATATGGTAAGAAAGTCAGTTACTCACGGTCCAACGCTAGACTCAATTGTTGAGCCATCATTACAATACAAACGGATTCCATTAAGAGCTGTATCATCACGTAACCCTTGGGGATCTTCCACCTACGAAAATACGATCCTGATGAAATTCTAGATCAGCCCTTCTCCCCTCATTTCTCAGAATTTCCAACATTTACCCATAAATACAGAACAATGAATTACATCAAGACTAGATCAGCCATACAGTATTACACCAAACTCAGTGCCTTTTTTTAATTATGGAATCAAAAGTGTTAAGCATCAAGTTAGTTATTTCTTGACTGCCTTTCTTAAGAGATAGTCAAAGCTGAAGAACTAACTTCAAGGGAATATTCAGAAGTAAACGAACATCTAAAAAGTAAACTTTTACCTTCAGGGTGAAGCCATAAGCATAGCCTCTTGGGCAAAATTCGTTTGAGCCCCAGTCACCCCAGTCACCCCCATTTGGCACCGTGAGCGTAGCTCCATGTGTGCGAGCTTCCGTATTCCACAGGCAGCAGGAGATGGTCAGGAGAAGAGTGGTGCAGAGAGAGAGTTCCATGGGAAAGGAAACCAGTCTGCCTCTTGAAACAGAAATGTCCTCAGAATTTGCAGCCTCCTAGACACCAGGAATCATTTATAAAGTATCTGCAGTACCACCCACATGAATTCATGCTTTTCAATTCTTTTGATGTGTACCTTTGAATCAGTCTTAATTCCTGGGAACTGCCTGGACTAGACCCTTCAGCTTTTTTTGGCAATATTTCAGAAGTGGTTTGCCACTGTCTCCTTCTCCCTAGAGCTGAGAAAGAGGGACTGGCCCAAGGTCACCCAGTTGGCTTTGCACCTAAGTCAGGACTAAGCACCGGCCAGTCTCCAGCCTGGTGTCTTAACCACTACACCAAACTGGCTGTCTCTCAGTCCTAGCAAAAATAACAACAGCAACAAAACCTCAGTTACTGTAAACATCTCATCAAATGTCTGAATCAATATACCAGGTAATACTAAGGTGTTTTTTTTTTAAAAAAAAAAAAATGTTGTAACTTACTGAGTTCAGAAATTACATCCTCTATAATTAACAGCTTAGAGGATTTCTGGGTGATAACCAAAAAAAACCAAACAGAAATTTAGGTTAATAGTAAACTCAAATAGATAGGTTTCTGAACCTTGCAGGAAACATTAATTTCTATAAAATCAGTCTGAGTTGCCAAGCTGATACTGAGAAAGATATCCTGAGAAACAATCTGCATTATTTCCACAATTTGTATAATTTGTTGCAAGCCAAAATGCATTCCACCCTTGTATTAATGGACGTATTTCTGTTTTCTCCTCTACATTGCCTATAGTGGAAATTTCAGACACTAAGAGTAACAAAAATGTGTAACAGAATAGATCCAAATTTGATATTTGACTTTTAGATACAAACAGAATCTAACTTTGGCTGAGAGATGAAAGCAGACTGGTCTTGAAGGAGGGAATTTATATATAATATTAACATGTAACATATAACAAAATATAGCATTAATAATAAACACCACAATACGTAAACCCCAAAAGTAGTAAATATATAATCACTGGATGATTTTGAACCAGTTAGTCCCTCTCACCTCCAGATTCCTGCCAAGACTGTTGAAAAAAAGTTGAGGAAAGGTAAGCCATTAGGGAACTCCTGATGGAAGGAGAAGCAATAAATAAATAAATAAATTGCCTGGCTCCCTTTATCTGGATAATGCCCCTTAGTCTACTCAGCAATCCACTTCTAGGATCTGCCATATAAGTCACATGAAAATGAAGTGGGGTCTTTTCTGTTATAACTGCTTACGACTCCAAACATCACTAAATATATTTGATGTCCACTGATTTGACAGTGTAATAACTATAAAAGCCACCTGTGCACAGCTTGGATTGTCTTTAGGTTCTCTAGAAGACATATTCTCTAGAATAATTTTCTTCTCCATTAAATGTGCAGGTAACAGAATTCATTCTTACTCTGCAAGGAGACACCACGGTCCATGATTGTCAATAAAAGAGTGAAAGAAGGACACTTATTTCCTGAAAAAGCCAAATGCTAATCTCTAATTCTTCTAGCAACTAAGAAATCAGTCAAAAGAGGCTGTGCCTGTTCAGTTCTGCTCCTGCTTTTCAATGCTGTCAGCCAATTAGTGAGTTTTCCTAGCAATAACTGATGAAGAGGTCTCGCTTGAAATACTCAGCAAACCAGGCTAATGCTGGACCATTAAAAAGTGCTCTGAAGCGGAAATGAATGGCAGTATTTTCTTCCAAACATGAGATATAAGAGAAAAAGCATGAATTTGCATGAGTTCTAAATCAAATCTTTTTCAAAATCGACTATTCTCATGAATTCTCAACTTCCAATCCCTGTAAAGGATTGGAACTTCATGAATGCAAGCAAAATCCATCCTTGTTTCAAATATGCTACTGAAGCAGAATGGCGGCTAAGAGGCTGTGCAAGACACCACAATCTTCTGCCTACATAGGGGCGGGGGGTCAAGGCCCTGTGGAGCAGTCCTATGATGTTATCCCACCTCCCTGATATGAGAGGGGGGATTTCATTCAAAATTATTTATATACGGCTTATTTAAAAAGTTTCAGATCAGATTGTGATAAGGTTTTCTTTGGAGAAATGCAATCTGTACCTGTGTTTGTACATCCATATACAGATGTCAAATGTGAGTCATATGAGGGGATATACATATGATCACTGATTTTTAAAATTTCCTAATTTAAAATCACATGGAAGAACAATTTAAAAGTCATTTAATTAAATATGCATCATCCCCAGCTCTGTAGGGACAGAACAAAGATAATGTTCTCATATTAAAGATCACGTAAAATCTTCTTTGATTTATCCCAGACATTGACAGCTAATAAGTAAGGATTTGTAGCTTGAAGTCAGAGTCCTGCAGTCACCGTGCATATTTTAAAAGGATCTGAGTGCAGAGAATTCTTTTTTTCCTCCTCCATCCAGTGGAGCAGCAAATATACCCCATTTACCTCATTCAAAGGGATAGAAGCCCATGGTTAATGCAGAGCTTCCCAGCAACTTCTCTTGAACAAAATCTCCTTGGAGGTCTTCTAGTCTAACCTCCTCCTTGAGTAAAAGACCCTATATCATTTCAGATAAATGGTTGTCCAGTCTCTTTTTGAAAGCCTTCAGTGATGGGCTTGCATAAGTAAATCATCAACTGATCTCATTGGCTGGATTGCCATTGCCTAGTTAACTGCAGAGGAACCTCAAGCCATGAGGTGCTAGTCCCTCAGCAAAGGGACAGGTATACCCCACTTCCTTCTCTGCTGGCCTCAAGGCACTGTTTTTAGCCACAAAATGTCACCAGGCTTGGTTTTGCCATCAGTAGTTCCTCATTCTTGAATTCTTGCTACTTTCCAAGTAATTGGAGAAATTCTCTACTTGGGGAAAAGTCATCGGTCACTGTGTACTAAAATAAACTGTTGATTTAACCAGTCAATATTTAAGCATTTTTAATTAAAATAGGGGTTATGCCAGAAACTGATGGATTTCTCTGTTCTCATCAAGAAGGCACATACTGGTGCAATGTTTCTCAATCTTGGCAACTTTAAATATTGAGTTCAATTGCCAGAATTAGTCAGATGCAGGAATTCTGGGCATTGAAGTATACCAGTTTGAAGTTGCCAAGGTTGAGACACTGAGCTAATGGAAAAAAACAATTTTACCATGTAGTGGGACAAGATCAGGCTAGTGTAATCCTGGAGTGGTGGATTTAGTCCCTTTCAAGTTATCTATATGACACATTGCTTGACCATAGAGATGGTCCATAGCATTGACTAGTCATTTGTAGATATTCCTGAACAATCTCTTGATCTAAATTGAGACTGCAGATAACAGAATATCTTTATATTATGTTCCATGGAATATAATATAAATAACTTAATAACTTAAATAATCAGTTTTAACCTCCATAAAAATGATGTTCCTGCAGAGGATGGTCAGGATCTATTTCACCCAGAATAATGCAAAAGATGCAGTGCAAAAGCTTCCATCTACTCTGAGGTATAACTTTGAAGGTATTCTTGTTCTTCAAGCTATGATAGAAGTTCAAGTCTTTTCATAAAGAATTCACAGTACACAATTTTTAGTACTTTTACCCTTCTCCATTGGTAGCTCCCAAAAATGGCTGGAAAAGATAGGTTAATTAAGGTTCAACCCCTTCCTAAATTAAATGTACTAATTCTTAAAGCATGTTGTTCAACCTTGATTCATTGCCATTGTTCAGAGTTTTGCACCTTTTGACACCATAGAAAACCACATTCCAAATATGATTTGTTCATTTGTGTTTTGTGTGTTCATTTATGTTCACATTTATATCTCAGCACACAATACAAAGACACGTGAAAGCTTCCATGTTATGAAGAATGAATTAAGACACCCAGAGTTCATTAAGCAAATAAAATCATTATCTGAATGATATAAATTATAAACCAATAAACCATTTCAATTAGTATTACAGAAACAACACAAACACAAACATGGAATAAGATGAATAAAATATATTTAAAGGTAGCTGATTAAATTCATTTGCTCTCCAGTCTTGTTCCTATTTGGATTCACAATTCTTACTCTATTCATACAAGACACTCATCCCAAAAGAAAGTGAGCATATATGCATCAGATTCCATCACATTCATCTGAGAAAAAGATATGATGTTTCAGAAAAAGGTGTTTTAATAAATCATCTAATTCTTGCCCTTGATTTTATATGAATGCTGAAGTTCAAAGAGCAGGGGGTCCTCCTTCCATTCCTTCCTTTTCTTTAATTCCCTTATTAAACTTGCTTTTTTCAAAACATTATCTTTAGTCCATATCCCTTTATCAGAGTCTTGTTCTCAGACTCTGCCTCATTGTTTCCTTTCTGCACCTGTAATCCAGGGCTAAGTAACATGATATCCTTAGACAAAAAATGAATCCAGAGACCTCCTGACTTTTTTCAAAAGATCACCTGTAAACCACTTGCAAATGCTGAGTTTAAATACTTCCATTGGACTCTATGGAAATGCCTAGAAATCCTTCACATGCATGGGTTGTTTTGGGATTGGTCATGCCCACATGGCCATCACTTTTTGCATGGGGGAGATTCCCAAGCCAGCTATTTTGCAAGTGTGCCCATCATAGATTTTCAACATTCTAAATTGGCCAATGGACCAAAAGATTAACTGTGGTTACCTTAATGTATTTTTCTCCTTTCTTATTCCATAGCTTTTCACACTCTATAGATTCTTTAGCCATTTTTTTCTTTGCCTTAATGTCTCAGTCTCTCTTTCCTTCTAAACCATGAAAGCCATTTCTCACTTTTATGTTCACATTATACATAGAGCAAGAACTGTTATCCATATTCCACTTGAACCAGGTTTTCTACATTTCCATACAACTACATGTGTGTAATTCTGACTCAATAACAACCCCTGGTCTCCCTTCCCTGCTCCCTACAGCCCTCTGCAGCTCCACTTACTGTCTTCCTGCAGTCAATTGTCTTACAGTCAGAATGGAAAAGACTTTAAATGGAG